GGCACGGAGAGGCTTTTAAATGCCCCCCCGATCCTCCCAGGGCCCCCGCCTCGGAGTTGCCGGGGGGGTGTCGCTCTCCAGGCCTTCCCTCTGTAGCCAGGCACGCAGAGGTTTTGGCTGTAGTGGGCGAGGCCAACTCTGAAGCCAGCCAGAACTCCGTTCCTGTGCGTTCCTGCCCCAAAATAGCCCTGATTTGCCTTGCCATAGGCCAAACCTAGGGCTGTTTCACATTTTTTTCCTTCAGTTCTGGCCCACACACTGCTTCAGTTTACCCCTTGATTTCTATGTGCATCTTGGAGCCTTTTGTTTTCTCTTGGGGTCTTTTGTTCCCCTGTTTTTTCTGGTTCTTTTGAGACCAATTTACCTCAATGTTTTTGGCTTTTCCCTTGTGCCTCGTGCTGACCCTGTCCATTCTCCTTCTCCTGCCCCCTCCCATCCACCTGCAGCCCATGGTCTGAAGACTGGACTGCAAGGGTCAAATAACACCCCCCCCAAAAAGAATGATTTATTTTTCTTTTGTTTTGTTTAAATGGCACTAAAATACTGATATCACACTGGAGCATTGTAACAATAGGCTTAGGGAGTTCTCGGAATTCCCAGCTCCCCCACCACCCCCTTTTTAAGTAAGTCTCTAGCTTTTTCCTTTATGGAGTTATAAGGGAAAAAGTGCCGGAAGGAGCTAGGCTTACTTTTTTAAAAAATGAAAGCTGGGAATGTAGAGAAACTCCTAAGCCTATTGTCACTACACTCCAGTGATATATCCATTTTTTACTGTGTTTTTAAGGGTGGTGGTGGGGTGTTGTGACATCACTGCTGCTGACGACACCTCCTCCTTTGGAAATCCTCTTTATTGAAGGCACCTGCAGTAGAAGACAAACTGACTTCTCAGCTGTGAAAATGCCCAGGGAGGGCAGACATGTGTAACAACCATGCCCAAACTGATTCCAGTGTTTGTGGATCAGCTCCCGAGAAAATGATGAGAAAATGATGACCCGTGAAGCCTGAACTGAACCACTTTCTGTAGCTGACAGTCTTATTAGCTGTGTACAAGTGTAGCAAAATAGAAAAGTATCATGATTAACAGTGGAAATTTGATCTGAAGCACAGAGAGCTTTCTGAAAACTACAGATGGTGAAGTAGAGATTAAGCATATGCCTTCCCAGTTGTGCAACCGCTAGCGCCCAATTTCACACTATCCACCTCCCAGTAGTAACCTGCATGCAGTATTTATGTTTTTCAGGTGAAGGGCTCCCAAGCCATGAATATCATCAGTGCCATCTTTGCATTACTTGGAATACTGACTTTTATAGTAGATCTGAGCATAAATGGACCATTTTACTCTGAAGATAGCCATCACTATTCCTTGGTTATGGTAGGTTTCTACACCTTAACAACAGCCTTGTCATCAGAAATAACCCTTTGGAACTAGCAAAAGACTCAGGGGGGTTGGTACAGTCTTTATCTCTCTCTTTTTATCAGAAAAGAGTGCAGGACAAATACTTTTATAGCATTTGCAAATCACTTAAGATGTGTCCAGATGGATGACTGGGGGAAGGGTTGCTAAGCAGGCAGATCCAAATCCTTATTTCTATTAGGCACCTTTTCTGTGCTGCCTTGTTTCCCTGATTGTAATCAGACATGAGCCGTATTTTATCCTGTTTTGAGGTCCACTTCTTAATTATGTTGTATTTTAAAACATACCTCAAAATAGATAAAAAGGAGACAATGAAAGCCACCACAGCAGTATGGCTGTCTGGAATCAGCAGGGCCAGCCTGTCGATTGGGGTGATGGGACTTGTGCCCCCCCCCTCAGCAGTACCAGTGAATGAGCCAGCAACAGGGAAGATCTCTGGGTAGAGCCATATTGGCCTGCAGTAGAAGAGCTAGATTTGGATCTGGTAGCACCTTCTTCCCTGATAAAAGGAGCTCTGACTTTCAGAAGCTTATCTTCTCAAAATCGTGTTAGTGTTTGAGGGTCAAAGCCCCTTTTGCCAGGGAAGATATGGGCAATGGGTCTGGAGCAGTGTTCCCTCTAAGCTGAGTTGGTGTGAACTAGCTCACAGTTTTTTAGCCTCCGGCTCACACATTTTTGTCTTGGCCCAGGAAGGATGGCCCCAGTGTAAACTAATTTATGCAGTAGCCAAATTGCTCACTCACAACTTTAATGACGGTAGCTCACAAAGTAGAATTTTTGCTCACAAGACTCCACAGCTTAGAGGGAGCATTGGTCTGGAGCAGCTTTGGGGAGGGGGGGGGTTGAGGATGCATGGCTGGATCACAGAATTTACATATTACTTAATTTTATATTCTGACTTTCTTCCACTTTGGCATTTCAGGCAACATACAGGGTCTCCTGTGGGAGCACGGATCCTCCTCAGCCCTACTCAGCAGTCCCAGAGGAGTTGGTAGATGGTGCAGGGACTCAAGCTGCATGGCCTTGCTGTGCTGCCACCAGGGAGGAGCTCCAGAACTCTAGGACAGCTGCCCTTACATGGGTCCCTGACAGCCTTATCCCCAACTACTTATGTTCTCGTAGGAAGGACTCCTTCCCTTGATATTAAAGCCCAGGCAGGTGCTCCCCCTCCCGGGACTCCTGCTAGGCTCCTTCCAAATCTTGGAAATGAAGCAGACTTCAGGAGATTGCATGTATAGGATAGTATTGTGAGCATTTGTGACCTGTTCCAACTTTGCAATGAGCCCAGAGAAACTATGCTTGGGTCCTGGTGCCTGAAATAGTAAGCCACATGGAAACCATGCTGGACCAGCGTGAGTGGTGAAGTTTCAAAGAGCAATGGTTGCACAAATCCCTCCTATGCTATCTGGTACTACTTTCTTGTTGTAAAGCTTGCCTAACTTCCAGTTTGGTACTACATGTGAAATCCTCTGTGGAGGAAGATGCCCATAATGGCTGGTGGTGCTCCCCATCTGTTCATCATGGTTACGAGACTAGGAGCGGGCCATGCGATTCCATCTCTCCCCCCTCATTATTTCCTCCAGACCACCTTAAACACCACTGATGTTAATCACAGTAAATGCTAGCAACTATAGCCCTCTCAATTAGCTAGGGTTTATTAACCCGGCTTCAACTTATGGTTTCAAATTCTTGTTGACAGGGATACCAAGGCGATTAACGCCATGGAAGCATGAGGCTGGGGACTGATTGTGCTGGAAACAGCACACCGTCTCCTCCCTCCCTTTCTTATTCATACTTGCAATCTCACAGAGCTTGCATATTAAATACTAAAAAGGCTGTTTGCTCAAGTAAAACTATCTAGACTAGGAAGAACATTCTGAATCAGAGCCTCATCTGCTGTTAGCAGCTCGACACCCACACAAGGTTGATTTCCATCAGGGCTGAATTCTGCCATGATAAAAAGGAAGACTCTGCTGACATTTGGTTCACATCCTGAAAGGGTTTTTTTTTTTGGTTTGTGTTTTTTTTTTTTGTGCATCCACTTCTCAGAGGAAAATATGTATAAATCTAGGCAGCCTGGGAGAGAAGATCTATTTCAGTTTGTTGAATGTCTTGTAATATTCTTGTGTGCTTTCTTTGTGGAGTAGACGGGCAACAGGATTGCCATTGTGTTGCTGACGTTCACTATCCTGGAATTTTGCATTGCATCTGCCACTGCCTATTTTTGGTGCCGGGCAACCCGTTCTGACTCCAACGAGGTGACTATGATTCTCACCAGGATGCTACTTGCATCACTCTAATTGCATCCTTCTAGTTTGGTGAAATGTTTGCTTTTGGCGTATTCTGGTTTAGGTGCATGATCCCTTCCAGTCTGGCTTCCGCCCTGGCCATGGGACAGAGATGGCTCTGGTCGCCCTTACAGATGATCTCCGTAGACCTGGATTGAGGCAGATTGGCACTGCTGTTGTTATTAGATCTAATGGCAGCATTCGATACGGTCGACTATGACCTGTTGACCCACCACCTCACTGACCTGGGAGTGCAGGGGACTTGCCTTGAAATGGCTTTCCTCTTTTCTCCATGGTCGGGGACAGAGGTGCTTGGCAAGAGGGTCTCCCCACAATACCCACTAGAATGTGGAGTGCCACAGGGGGCGATTCTCTCGCCAATGTTATTTAACATCTATATGTACCCCCTTGCCCAGTTAGTGGCTGGGTTGTCATCAATATGCTGATGACACCCAGCTATATCTGTTAATGGATGGCCATCCATCGTCTGTCCCTCAAAATCTGGCTGAGGCATTGGATGCTGTGGCTGGTTGGTTGTGGCAGAGTCGGTTGAAGTTAAATCCATCAAAAATGGAGGTCCTGTACCTGAGTTGTGGGGGATTGGGTCAGGTGATCAGGCTCCCAACCTCCGATGCCCCTCTGGTGCCAGCCCAGACAAGGAGGAGCCTGGGAGTAACACTGGATGCCTCTCTCTCTATGGAGGCCCAGGTTGCAGCAGTTGCCAGATCTGTACTTTTTCATCTTAGGCAGATGTCACTGAAGCCCCATCTCTCCCCTCAGGACTTGGCTACAGCGATCCATGCAATGGTCACTTCCTGGCTTAATTATTGCAGCTTGCTCTGTGCAGGCTTGCCCTTGAGGCTGACCCAGAAATTGCAACTGGTGCAAAATGCGGCGGTGTTGTTGCTGACGTCGACGCCTATGCGGGCTCACGTTCGGCTTGTGCTGCCGGTTGAGTACCGGATTCACTTCAAGGTGTTGGTAATGACCTTCAAAGCCTTACACACCCTAGGACCAACATATCTAAGGGACTGCCTCTTCCCATATATGCCCCAGAGAGCATTGCGCTCTAAGGATCTACACCTCCTGGTGGTCATAGAATTATAGAATCATAGAGTTGGAAGGAACGTCCAGGGTCATCTAGTCCAGAGGTCATTTCGGGGGGGATCGCGGGGGAACACAGTTCCCCCAGGTGAGGTGCAGGGGGAGGTGCACATGATGAAGCCCCGCCCCCTGCTTCCAGCTGCCCTGCTTCCAGACCTCATTCAGCCAGGAGGAGGCAGGAGAAGAAGGAGGGTAAGTTGCTTCCCCCCCGCCGTTGCTTCCTCCCCGCCTCTCCCCACCCCTACCTGCCTGGGGCCAGGGAGGGCCTTGGCGGGGCTTTCTCGCACTCCCGCTGGCCTTGCAGGTCCACGGTCGGGCCCCTGATGTCAGGGGGTGTGGCATATGCTAATAAGTTATGCTAATGAGTCCCCCTAGCTCTTTTTCTACGAAATGACCCCTGATCTAGTCCAACCCCCTGCACAATGCAGGAAATTCACAAATACCTCCTCCACACTCACAGTAACTGCTGTTCCACGCCCAGAAGATTAAAAAACCCCTCCAGGATTGCCTCCTAACCCTAAAGTGGCAATCAGCATTTTCCTTGACATGTAAAAAAGGGCCACAAGTACTAAGCACTGAGGCAACCCTTC